GAGCACCAGCTCCTGCGTGAGGTACTTCGCCGCAAACTCATCAAGGTATCACCAGCTCTCTATCCTAATATCACGCTCGACCAAATCCTCGCTGCGAATGGCGTTAACAACATGTACCCCTACCAAGAGTAAGTACTGTCACATCCCCCAGAAGAAGGTCGTAGAGCGCGCTGACAATTCCTGCTAGTCATCCGCTCGCCATGCAAGTCAACATGGGCGCCACCCTAGCAGGCGTCCTTTTCCGTCGCGGAGAAGTGAAATACAACATCAAGAACCGGGTTCCGATGGGCCAATGGAGCTTTGAAACCGCCTTGGCCTACTTCTGCAGCAACAGTAACGACAACATTAGCTTCTCAAGCTACTTTCGACAGACCCGCGCTCGCCTTTACCTCGCCGCGTACGCCAAATACGAGAACAAGGCCACGAATGTCCAGAAGGTCTACATGCTCGCCTGCGCTGAAGAGAACGGAAACAAGCGCATCCAAGACCGCGGCTTTAAGCCCACCCATTATCGCGAGCGCTTCATTCACGAGCTGCTACAGAACCCTCAAGACTTCGATATCTGCACGCAGAACCGCAACAAGGGTATCCTGAAGGATATGCGCCAGCTAGTCGAGTCCTGGAAGCTGGTTGAGAGCAACTTCGATCCAGACAACGTCCGCCACCAGAAGCTGGCTCAGGTTGGACCGGCTCTCGTGGAGTTCTTCGAAGCTGAACACATAGTCAAGGATGACAAACCGGATAGCATTCCCGGCGTCAGCCCTACCAGTGTCATCGAGCTCGATGTTACCAAGTACCAACCCTTCACCGCCGACTATCGCATCTTGACGGGACTCTTGAAGGCTATGCAGGGTTTCCGTACCTACGAGACTGTCGACATCTTGGTTGTGGACGACATCGCTGATGGTCTTGATGGCTTGAAGGTTTCCAATGACATCGGAATGGATGTCACACCGGTTGAGGGCCCAGCGCGACCTGTCTTGCATGTCCTTACTATGCCGGAGGTCGATCTTTCCCGCTTGGGTGACGTTGTCACACTGAACTTCGATTGAGCAGCATTTTGGTTCTCTACAACCCTGTTCGGACAAGTAACAAACTATTGGAGATAAAATTGGCGTCGATACATACTCGGCGACAGTAGGTATAGATATTTAGGTTGTCGGTAGATCTTCACGGTACTGGGTGGGCAGATTTCGTCCGCTGGTTAGCTTGCTAAGAGTCAATTTCAACCGCCATGGTCACGAACGAAGCACATATGCTGAAAGAGTTGCATGTACATCATGTCTACTTCGATCATTTTCACCTTCATCTCACATTCATTCTATCGCGCTACCCATCTAATATTGAGGCTTGTTGTCGCATTTTACAACCGCGTGGCCCAGGTTCTCCGCTTTCCCGATGGACTCTGTCCAATTTTATCCCGTGACTCCGCGCAATGTTTGCTCCATCACATCATTTACCATCCTAAGGTTTTAGTCAGTCGCGCAGTGCGTTCTCCGCGTCCTCTTCACTGCGATCGACACTGTCCGTTTACACTCCGCCACCAACATGGACGACAACACCGAAGATATCGAGAAGATGTCGCAGAACTTGACACCTGAAGATGTGACGGCGCTTGAAGAGCTTCTCCGCCGCAAGACTGACAGAGTACCTAACGGCCTCCGCGCCCAGCAGACGCTACCGCTCAACGCCATTCTCTCCCCTTCCACGCAGCAACAGTACTTTCCCTATGAAGTGTAAGTCATGTTGCTTATTCCCAAGTCTAGTCAACAACTTGCTCATACTAACGACTTCATAGCGCTGATGTCGCAGAAGGTGCGACATTCGCCGGCCAGCTCAAGCACCGCGGCGCCATCGCGCGGGCGATGCAATCGTTCACCCCCATGTCGGAATGGCCAGTTCAAACCATACTCGCCTACTTCACTTCCAACGTCAATCGTCGTATGTGCTTCTCCCGCTACCTCAAGCAAACGCGTGTTCGACTATTGGTCAATCTGGTGTCACTGCTCAACAAGACTGACACACCCATGATGGCGGTATGTCTTCTCGAGACCTTAGGCTCTTCGGCTACATCGCAACCGCAGATATCAGTGCACTAATGCCGTTCTCTAGGCCTACACACTAGCCTGCATGGAATATGGCCAGCATCCCAGTCTCGGCACCCAATTCGACCCCGCAGATCCTACAAAACACCAGCTCGCCTTCGTCCACATGCTGAAAGACAACCCCGATGATTTCATTGTCCTCAGCGGCGACGCACGCAATGAATATGTACGAGCGAAGCTGACTACGTACCTCGCCGAAGCACGCAATGCATGCCCAGATTGGACCCAAGTACCTCCCCCGACACGCGCCTTGTTCGACTTCTGCTTCAAAGGCGGTCAAGATCAGATGAATCAAATGGCGCAGAAGGTGCTGACTAAGAAGAGGAAGAGGGGAAAGAAGAAGACTACGCCGTCGGTACCGCAGGGCGATGTGCCGTTTGTGTATAAGCGTGTACTGCCGCCGTTGTTCGAGTATGATGATAGTAGGATTAAGAAGGTGTGTGCCGGGAATGCGTTGCTGGAGGGGCTCATTGCGGGAATGCCTGGAGTGAGAGTATTGGGTGAGGAAGATGATACTAAGGATGGGTACAAGGAAGATATGGAGCGTGGCGAGGAGCTCAACGTCTCTGGAGTTGGAGAGCTAGGTGAGGGGTTTGAGAAGGGCTTGGATGATATGGTAAAGGATGGAGGTGGTGCTAAGGCTGTGGGAAGTGTGGACTTGACATCGTGGTATGACTGGAAAAACGTATAGAGACGAGTATGCCTGGCACTCCTCAAGGTGCTTTAGGTGCTTGGAATCAATCTTGAGTGGGGATTTTACAGTCTACACAAGTCTTCGAGCATGAGGCTTCTTCTTATCATTTCCCGTGAGTACCTCCTAGCTTCATTAAAGGGTGAATGTCGCCAAAGCACCACTTGCATGTTACCACCACAGTTGTTCTACACTTCAGAGCGGCGCATCTTTGGTTAAGAAATATCGCGCATCCGACAGCATCGGAACATGAGAATTCTACATTAGTGTTTATTCGCCGACATAATTGGTGTCCGCGATTTGGGTTCGCAGGTTGAGATCATCAACAATGGCGATTTGAGCGCCTTCAATGTCTTGGGCTTGGACGAGCCTGACAAGTTGTACAAGGACGACATCGAGGAATTGTACGCGGATGACAGTGAAGATGAGATGGACACTGATGAAGGCTTCTGCATTCTTGGTAGCGCTGATCTGGACTTGTGGGTGAAGAGGGCTGAGTCTGGTATATAGATATCCGGGTATGCGTTGCTCCCTTCAGCGTACTTTGAGTGCTTCGGTGGCTCATTATGAGGGTGTTTGCCGCCTACATAGGTTCGCGAGGACGTGTATCTTGCTCTGTACATTTGGTGGATAGCTCCCGGGTTGACATACAGTAGACGAAATGACTCAGTACACAAGTAAGCCTGGCATCCTTCAAAACACTATCCTCTTCCAACATCGCTCTTCATCACACCTCTTGCAGTCTACATACGTCTCCGACAACTGCACGCAACCTTCGTATCCTTTGCGAATACCTCCTAGGTCAACTCAACACTTCACTACGCACTTGCCAGCACGATCGTAGTCCTCAACCCACTGCGTGAAAAACCATCATATTCCACATATCCATCCCCCACACGATCATCCGGCCTGATACACAGGGTTCTCGGTCTTGTAATACACCGTCTTGACTGGCTGCTGTTGAGACGCATACCTTCCTTTGGCCCTTGCGCTCTCCTCTCTGCTCTTCATTCTCCTATCCACCATCTGAAGAGTGCGGAGTTGTCGGTCTGACAGACCGATCAGACCTTTCGCCGTACGCGGGGTGGTAGTGAGGTTACGGTGGGGATCGTTGCTGTTGTGATATGAAGATAGATGACCGGGCTGTGAATGTGTGGCAGGAGGTTCTTGGGAGGATAAAGATTCGGCGGCAGGAACCGCGGGTTTTAATTTTCGGTGTCTTGGACTGCGGCGCTGCGAACGTGCGAGAGTTGGGTTGGTAGCTCTTGATGACGTCTCATCTGCGTTATTGCTACGCTGGGGGTTAATGGCCAATCCTGATGGTGAATGCGTCTCGGCGGCCATCTCGTAATTCCAATCTTCGCTACCCCCCTCCTTTACTTCCGTATCCCAGAAATCTATCAACTCAGCCATCTCAATCATACAATGCCCTTTGTCCCGCATATGCGTCTGCACAGCATCTACACTTCCCTTCTCTTGTCCACAGTAGAGACACTCGTGATATTCGTAAACCAGAACGGCCAGATATGAGAGCAAAGACCCTAAAGAGTAGAGTTGCGAAGGTGCAGGTACGAAGAGGCTGTGCTGTGTTGACATGTGGTCTAGATTTGTGGTTGGAGTAGGAGAGGAAGAGGGGCAAAAGAGACATCTTGTTGAGGACGAAGTCTTGAAATAGTCGTCTTGTGTATGTGCTGTCGATAGTTTGGAGTTGGTATCGCGTCCGCTAATGTCGCGCGCAACAGCTGTCCGAGGTTTTCGTATCAGAGCATCGTCGTTCTTTCTCTGTCGGTGCGTGACCTCCTCGCTCTTGTATTCGAGCATTCCAAAGTCTTGCTCGGATAAAGCTGGCAGTTCAGAAATGCGCCTTTTGAGATTGTGGATGCTGTCACAAAACGTCAGTCTAATCACTTCCGCGTTTACATGCTCGGGATGATCTTACTGCCAGGGTTGATGCATGTGTGCACGCTGTAGCGCACTGCTTGTGAAAGAAAGAGAACATGTGTTACAAGGAAACGCTGTCCGCGATTCCGATGTCATCTCTGATATTGTTTGTGTAGTTGTTTGTTGTGAGAGTTGCGTGGAGAAGGAGTAGCGGGCTCTCGGCTGAGAATGTAGGAAAGTACCTCTCGTGTGAAGGCGCGAATGCGATCGGTTTGGCTCTGGCCAATCGATGTATCCAGACATTCAAATCTTATATAGGTAAATTAGTTCACACTTACTGGCCCGGGGAATACTGGCGACCACCAAGTCACGTGCCAAGCTATCCTCGGCGCAGTCACCTCAAGCCACAATGAGTCATTTCCACTCACTCCCACGCATACTCACTCGACAGTATGCTGTCTTCCTGTTAGCTAATCAAACATCACTGTGAGCAAAGTAGATCCTGAAAGCACGTTTTCAAATCCATTTTTTAATTGTCAATCATGATACCCATGCTCGCGCCAACTTTGCTTCTTCTTATTGCTCTTCCGTTCATCCTTGAGCTTCTTCGTCAGCCCCAGCCCGTCAAGCTTGGAGATTACCTTCTCCACCAGCTTAGTAACACTACTCCTCCTCTTTACTTGTTTAGCCGGTAGAGCAGTGATCCCTTGATCTTCAACGTGCGGCTCGCCTTTTTGGCTATACTCATCCTCATCAACGTCAAAGTGGTCGGATATGGATGAAAATAATTGCTCAGCACTGCGGTGCGCGTAGAATGACTGGCCATCGGTCTCGTATCGGATCTTGGTGTCATTGTCATAGCCTTTGACGTAGCCCGGGCGAGACGCACCGCTGATTTGTGAGACGCGAGAGGGATAGTAGGTTGCTATCCCGTTTACCATTCTGATATTCGTGTGTTGGTCGTAGATTGGTGTTTTTGACGAAGAGGGGGCTGGGGTTGTAGGGACATTCCTAGATGTCCGGACATGCAGGTCGAGGCGGCGGCGGGGCGAAGGCTGGTCATCGGAAATGACAGAGTCATGGCGAGAGGAGTTATGAGAAGAACCGGATTCCGAGGATGTGCGAAGACTTTGCTCTGCTGACCGAATGTGAGAGCGAACAGGTGTTTGTCCATTGATGGGTAGCGATGGCAGTGGTTTCTGCTCATGCGTCGTCATGATTGGATCCATGTTCGGAACACCGCGTCGGAAGGATAAAGGCAGAGGTAGTGCTGACGACCTATTTAGTGCCGCCAAGGCCTGCTCCTCCTGTGACTTCCTTCGGTAGTGAACGATTGGTTTCATATTACCGTCCCAATCGACGATCATAGTGCCCTGACTCGCTGGCCGATCGTTCTGAGCAGGTGCGATAAGGGATTGCCATGTTGCCGCATGGTCATCAATCATTTGCGTTAATTCCGTTGCAGCTCCATAACGAGAGCGAACTCTGGCATGGTGCGTGGGTCGGCATTGGGAACCTTCGCTGTGGTTGCGTGGTTGTGGTGAGAGCTGGAGAGTGCAGCCTGTGTCATGGCGGTCGGCGCCATGAGCAAAACCGTAGAACGACATTGCGTTGAGCGGCCGTAATTGTTGTGTTGCGTTTGTGGAAGGTGTCTACTTTAGTCTTTGTTTCGATATGTTCGAAACTAAGTCTTTGACGTTGTTGGAGTAGTAGAGCAGTGTAGTTACTGTGGGTTGTTGTTCCTGTGTGTGGTACGTTAGAATCGTATGGATGTTTATGGGAGGCAAGTTCTATAGACGGTGGAAGGCGCCATGGTATGTGCACAGTGCGATACGAACATCGCGTATAGTGAATTCATGTGCTCGATAGTGACGGGCTGTGGACGAGTGATGCTACGACATCGATGATCGTTCGTGCATTGTGAAACTCAATAGTTGATGATGAATGTGACAGGCGGTGGAGGTTTTGAGATGAGATTAGTGTGAAGCGAATCTAACGCATCGTCATTAGCAAATTAAATACAATCCCGCTGGCATGCCAATACCCCACGTTTCGACATCGGTGGCCAACTTATTTCGAGCAACCCAGGTATACTATGAGTGCAATCTCTTCCGTCTACCCACGTTCTCTTACGTCTCGAGATGCATATGAACAGAAATGACGCAACAGATTGCTATGAAACATGTCAGACACAGGAAGGAAAATGGTATAGACCAAAAGCACAAACTCCGTGGCGAACGATGAAGGGGAAGAGTGAGAAAGCACAGCGCATGAACCCCGGGTATTACCAAGCTCCAAAGACCCTCGTGATGGATGAAGATGGCCTGAGAGCACCGAGAAAAGACAGATGAAACATCTAGTTCTTGTCCTTGCTGGATAGCTTGTCCTTGATCTTGCCGAAGAAAGAGCGGCGCTTCTTCTTCTTATCGTCAGCACCAGAAGCGATGCTCTGGCTGCCTGGAGTGCCCTTGGGAGAGACGTCCGAGTCTTTCCTGAGGTTCTTGGCGGGGCTCTCTGGGGCCAGCTGTGCGGCTGGGGCAGAGCTAGTGGCCTCAGTCTTGGTTGTCTCTACGCCGGTGGTGACAGTCGGCTGGGTCTGCTCGGTGGTAGTTGGCTCCTGCTTGTTGAATGCGACTTCGGTAGTAGAGTCGATGGGCTTGGAGGTTGGCGGCTGAGCAGGCTCCGATGCGGGCGCGTTGAGTGCGTTGGGCTCGCTGGAGGACTTGAGTGGCTTAGTATCGACAAGAGCCTCATCAGAGAGACCAGCAGCATTTTGGCTTCCTACAACAGCAGCACTGGGAGCTGGCTCGCCGGTAGCCTCCGTTGACTTCACTTCTTGAAGAAGTTCAGTCTCCATAGCCCGCTTCTCACTGACTGCCTCAGCATTAGTAGCGGCCTCGGGACTGACGTGTGCCTCCTTCTGGCTCTCGGCGACGACATCCGGAACATCACGAGCAACGGACTCGTTGACTGACTCCCTGGTAGTGCCAGCTACGACAGCAGCAGTTGCACCGGCAACAGCAGTCGCAGCAACAGCAGCGGGTGTGGTCTCAGCAGGTGCGGTCTCGGTGGTCGCAGCGGTCAGTACAGGAGCAGGCTCACCAGATTCCTCAGATCTTGGGAGCTTGTCGAGTAGCTCAGACTCGACGGCCGACTTTTCTGCTACGGCCTCACTGTTGGCAGCGGCTTCGGGGCTAACGTGTGCCTCATGTTGGCTGTCAGCGACAACCTCGGGTACGTCGCTGGAGACGGTCTCAGAAGTAGCAGCAGGAGCAGTAGTGGCTGTGGCAGCGGAAACGGCGGGGGCTGGCTCGCCGGCCTCGTTGGTCTTGGGGACCTCGCGCAACAGCTCAGACTCCATGGCGGTCTTCTCTGCGACGGCCTCGGGGCTGGATGCTGCTTCAGGGCTTGCGTGTGCCTCCTTTTGGCTCTCAGAGACGACGGCGGGAATGGCAATGGCGGGAGCCGTGAGACCAGTCTCGTTGGTCTTGGGTACCTCGCTAAGAAGTTCCTGCTCCATGGCGGACTTCTCAGCAACAGCCTCAGGGCTGGCTGCGGCCTCGGGCTCCGCATGTGCTGTGTTCTGGCTCTCGGCAACAATGGACGGAACCTCATCAGCAGTGGAAGTGCTGGGCTCGTTCATACCGGTAGCCTCAGCAGCCTTCTCCTTGGCAGAGTAGACAGCCGCAGTGAAGAGACCCGCACCAGCAGTCGCGCCAGCGGCAGCAGTGGCGGCGGCAGCTTTAGCTGTGTCGCTCAAACCAGCGTCTCCGCTAGCTGCGGGCGCCTCAGAGACGGTCTCCTTCAGCTCTTGCTCCATCTCCTTCTTGTCCTGGACAGCCTCTGGGTTGGCAGACGCCTCGGGATCGACGTGAGCCTCCTGTTGGCTTTCGGTGACAGTTTCGGGGACACCGCGGGGCTCTAGGGGAACTTGGGCGGCGAGATCGGCGGTTGTGCTGTGAGGAGCAGAGGATTGGATGGTAATGCCGGTGTCTTCCTCGACCTTGGCATCAGCGCCCATAGGGAGGCTCGATTCTGGGATCATGTTGCCCATGACAGGAGGGATACCGAACATGCCACCCTTGGCATCGCGCTCAGCCTGGGGAGTGAAGGCGAGGGGAGGGAGAGCATCGGACTTCTCGTAAGAAGAGGGGTCTGTCTTGACTGTGCTGTCGACGGTGTTGGAGGTCAAGGTACTGGCATCGGGCACCTTCTCGCCAGGCGCAAGGTGGATGGGGTTGCCAGCGCCAGCAGTAGCGGGGATGGGCGCAATACCGAATGCAGAAGCCTCTTGCTCGGGCTCCTTGTCATGCTTGACAGTCGAGTCTACGGTGTTGTCTGTGAGAGTGCTCGCTTCGGGAACGGGCTCGCCAGGCGCAAGCTTGATGGGGTTGCCGAGGCCAGAGGTAGCGGGAATGGGCGCGACGTTGAAGGTCTGCGGTTCGCTGCCAGGTGTCTCTGCGTACGGTGTCTCGGGGAAAGCGCCAGGGAGAGGAGAGTTGGACTTGGCGTCCTTCTCGCTCTCTTTGGGCACAGCGCCGGCTAGCGCAGCGGTTGTGGACTCGGGCGCGGCAGAGGACATGGTGTTGACGGGCTCCTCGTCGACGATGTCTTCGGGCAGGAGGACGTTGTTGATGATGCCGTGGCCGTCGTCTTCCTTGCGCGCGCTGTCGTTGGTACACCAGTTGCCGTTTACGACGAACTGTGGCAGACGTGTTAGCAGAGTCTGCGCAAACGGGGAAGCCGACGGTATGCGACGGGAGAGGTGCGCACCTTGTACTGGGTGTGGGTTTTGGGCAGCTCGACCGTCTTCTTAAAGATGCCATCCTCGTTCTCGAGCTTGACCGTCTTCCTCCAGTCATCGAAGGTGCCAGTCACGTAGACCTCATTGGCCGAGTGTTCCCTGTGCGCGTGTAAGCAGTTGGGCACGGAAGGTGCCTGGGTGGGCGCGAGGCAGGCGCGAACGTACCAGGTGAAAGTATATTTGCCCATATCAGCGCAGCGATGGACGTGGATCAGGGATTGCAGAGTTGGGAGGAGGGAGTAAGACCTGTCTTGGGCGCAGGGAGGAGAGGTGTGGAGGTGGTTGGTAAGTCAGGATCAGGAGCTGCGTTGGGTGGAGCGAGCTAGCTTGCGGCTTGAGTGCGCGCTCGGACGGTTTGGGGAAGATGGAGCTTGCGACTGTTTCGCGCGACAAACAGCAGCGATTTCAATGCAGGCACAAACACAGAGTCAGAGGAGCGACAGATATGCCTTGTAGATGCAGAATTGGCGAGGCTGGCGGTCTGGTCGCGACAAGGCGCTGAGTCTGCAAGATTAGAGACGGCGCTGCTAGCGGCAGGAAAGCTTGGCGGGATGCCGTTCATCGCGCGAGCCCTGGAACACGCGGGACCGACGGCGAGCATGTGCAATGACGAAATCTCCATGGCGTCGAGCTCAATTGCTGCGACTCTTCACAATTCTCAGGCCACCGTGCACAGTCGAATTGTGCTGCGCATGCAATCCGTATCCAGCCGCCTCATCTCGCAGGCCGAGCGACACGACGGCCCCTCCAGTTTTGCTCCGCGTGCCTGTGCGCCTCCCATGGCCGGCTTTGTGCGTCATCGCCATGTCCTGGACCTGTCGGGATATCTGGGCGGATTCCGGGGTCGCACGTGAGCTGCTACCTACAGTAACCTCCAGGGCTATGTTAGGTACCACTCGATGATTTTGTCGTCGCCTTATCTCAAATACTGTCTGGAACGCCTCTTGATCAGAGTTTTCGTGTCTTTCCTGCACCGCGTCTCAACATGTTCATGGATTCACCGCATCGGTGCCCATGTTGAATGTGTGGCTCACCGCCAATTGCAAGGTCGCGCCTCCCATGCCGTGCTCGTCTGAGCAACTGAATCCCATGCACAAGCTGTCAAGTAGACGGCGTTTGATATAGAGTTGCTGTTGTAAAGGACCTGCCCGAATGCTGTCTACCCACACGGTCTTGCAGTTCGTAGTGCGGTGTCTGATGAGCACCATGGATGCGCGACTTGATGACGTGAGAGTCAATGCGACACCACAACACCATCCTGAATCTCGCTAGGCGACAAGAACTCGACGATGTGATTTGAGACAATCAAAGCTCGGAGCCGCACCTGTCGACACAATGTCTCAGCTTGATAGTTCACGACTCAAGTGTGGGATATGTTAGTGCAAGCTCCAGTCTGCGCAGGCCAGGCAGCGGGAGCTAAAGCACGGCTTGAGCAGCTATGACAGCTATCGCAGCTGTCTTGCCCTGGTGCTACAGGCGCTCTGTGGGTGTGGGAGTCACACCAATTGCGGCGGCGAGAGCGGGCAGCCGTCGCGTAAATGTCGCCGTGAGCCTACAGCGTGCGAGGGATTCTAGAGGCCTTCTGGAAGATAATAAGCCCCAGGAAAGCTTGCCTCGATCCTTACCAGTGACTGCCCTGCCCGCCATCCCACACCCGTGATCCCTCCTCCCGCACACGCCCCCTCTCCTGCGCATCCTCACCGCGCTCCTGCTGCTGCCAGTCCCCTACGGTGCAGCCTGCCATTGCGTCCCCCATTCACGCATCCCCCCTCTCGCGCTGCCGCTACGTTCTCGCGGGCCCTCGCAGCACAACTGCCTCCATCCCTGCACGTCTCGCGACCGACGTCAAAGAGCTGCGCTTGACCCCTCACCACCACCGCCCTCATGTCCCTCCCTCCCGACTACTCCAACGAGATCGCCACGCTCGACCGCGAAATCCTCTCGCACAAGCCCCACGACATCCTCCAGTTCTGCGCCAACTTCTTTAACCGCCGTCTCGAGTCGCAGCGCACCGAATACCTGCTGTCGCAACAGCACTCCAGTCCCCAGGGCCGTGCCGAGAACTCGTTCCCCGGCAACAACCCCTTCAGCACCTCGCCCAGCGCCGGCAGCGGCTTCACCAAATCCACCATGCAGCGTCTCGAAGAGGAGGAGGAGAACGACACCATGACGTCGCCCACGGCCTCGACCTTTGGAGCTATCGACTTCAACCGGTCCCGCTCCACCAACAACAACGACGCGGGTGCGAGCGCGTTCGGCGACTTTGGCGGCTTTGGCGGCTCCTCCAAGAACAACATCACCCAGATGCCGCCTCTGTCGGGCGAGGGCCAGAACTTCCCCAGCAACTACAACACCAACAGGCGCACCTCCGTCTCCGCCGAGTCGCTCAACCCCGCCTCCAGCGCCGCCGACAACTTCACCCCGCCCTTCCACCAGAAGACGCAGGACCAGCTGTCGCGCCTCAAGTCGGCCGTCTCCGGCAACTTCCTCTTTTCACATCTCGACGACGACCAGTCGGCAATGGTCCTCGGCGCGCTGCACGAGAAGCCGATACCCACAAAAGGCATAAAGGTCATCTCACAAGGCGACGTCGGAGACTACTTCTACGTCGTCGAGAAGGGCGCCTTCGATATCTACGTCAACAAGTCGGGCAAGGTCGAGGCTGGCATGGATGGCGTTGGCGACAAAGTAGGCTCCGTCGGACCAGGTGGTTCCTTTGGTGAGCTAGCTCTTATGTACAACGCCCCGCGTGCTGCAACAGTCACCTCGACGGAGTCGTCTACACTCTGGGCACTAGATCGCATCACCTTCCGCCGCATCCTCATGGACAGTGCTTTCCAGCGCCGCCGCATGTACGAAGGATTCCTGGAAGAGGTTCCTCTGCTGTCTACCCTGACTCCCTACGAGCGCTCCAAGATCGCCGACGCTCTCGAAACCAAGAAATACCCCCCTGGCACAACCATCATCCAGGAAGGTGATGTCGGCGAATCCTTCTTCCTGCTTGAGTCTGGGGAGGCTCAGGTCTTCAAGCGCGGCGTAGATAGCGCCGTCAACCAATACCAGAAGGGCGACTACTTCGGCGAGCTAGCCTTGCTCAACGACGCTCCCCGCGCTGCCTCAGTCGTCAGCAAGACCGAGGTCAAGGTCGCAACACTCGGAAAGAACGGCTTCCAGCGACTACTCGGGCCCGTTGAGGGTATCATGAGACGGAACGATCCCAGCAAGGCTGCTTTCGAAGGCGATCATGTGGATCCGCTATCCAAGACTTCGTAAGCGTGTTCTTGCAGGGATAGAAATACAGAATGCTCCACTCACACGGGAGGTGAGCGGCACTGTTATACACAGACGGAAGACCAGGGCGTGGACAATTGCGGCCGGGTGTGGTCCTGTCACTCTTCGGCGTTCTCGCATGTATTCCTACACTTCCTACTGTCACTAAACTTCGCTTAATGCCATGGAAGATGATACAGCTTCCCCTCAGATCAGGAACGAGCTCTGGTATGAGCTGCTCTGTTACCTATACTCCACTGCGTACGATACTCATGCTTTAGACTTACACTTTCATGCTTCCCTTGAGCGATTATCAACATGTGACGTACTATACAATTGTCAGGAAATATTCAGGACGGATTCCGCAACCCTTCAAGTCTGCGCTGCGTAAATGCCCTCGTGTGCTCCTGCCCTCGCTCGCTCTGATTATGTGACATAATCACGGTACCCCGTGCGTTGCCAACGGCGCTACCAGGTATTATGGGATGCAGGCGCGCACTTCCCCTCCAACACCACACCCGATGGTCTGAGTGCGCTCCCACAACTCTAATATCACAGCAACACGAGCTCTGATCGAAACAATGGAAAATTGATATTCAGCACCAATAGCCATTATGCTCTGCCAAGTGCTTCTGCTCCACACCGCCTACTGATCGTCATGCAGTCATCGTGGCGTTCGCCTCTGAAGACATGGGTGTTCAATGCGTAATAGCGTATGTGGATGAAGGCCCAAAGGTACGTCCATGATGGTACCTGGGGAAAATTTTCGATCTGATACTCACGATCTCTAACGGAGCTTCAGGTGATCGGGGGTGGGCTACTTATGGCTTGCAGCTGTACACGCAATGAACACTAACAAAGCGTCATTCGGTTGTCCACACACCTTATCGCGATTACTACGCCGTTGGGAATACTAGCAAGAACGTAGCACCCCAGCACATCTCCACAAGACGCTTCGTGCCGTCAACGACTCGCCCTACCTACCTACCGAGGCATTGCTGCTTACAGCTCTCATGTATCAACAAAGCAAAAGAGCGACGGCAACCCCGAGCAAATGCTGGCGGATGCAATTCTCGTGAATGGAAACTCGCGCTTCACATCAACTGAAGAAGAAGTGATCGACTATATCTACTTTTCTGGGCAGCAAATCGTCATGTGCGCTGCTTCACAGCCCCGTTCCTCAGGACTTCGCGATTTCCGATGCAGCATGCAGCACGCAGCATCTGGCATGCAAGATCGCAATGTTCAGAGCGTTGCTTTTGAACGATACGGGCACGGCAGACGCGCCTAGCTGATAGTGTAGCAGCGGATACCTACCCCTGCATACATTATGACGCATTCGACGGACCAATGTCTCTGCGAATCTCAGTCTGAGCTTACAATTACAACGGGCTGATGCAACTGGACAGGCGGTCTCGAAATCTCAAAGCGATCCAATGACCGGAAGCTGTGCATTTCTCATCGCGTGCACCTGCAGCTTATATGCAGCGACCGGGGTGCATGGACACTAAGACTAAACTGGGAAAATGGGTTTATTATCTACAGGCATGCCAACGCCGTTCACGCACAACTTGGCCGTATCTTCGTGGTTCAAATCGCGCGTGTCGGAGCGTACGGGCGTAAGGAAACCGGTCTGGCTGCTCCAAACTAGCATGAAGTACCCATGTGAGTGTCTGGAGACCTGTCGAAATCTTCCTCGCGGGTCTCACTTCTTTGCAGTACGCCTCGGTCGAAATTCTTGGCATCATCAAGAGATGTTGTAGCGGTCTGTATGCCGTAGCAGGCATGTCCAAGTTCCCGGCGCTCGGTCGTTGATGATGGTGCTGCACGCATCAGCCACACACTACGTTGAGGCTACTCCTTCCCTCCCGCAACGTTCTGCGGGTCAGGGAGCTTGTGGCGCACATCGGCTTTCGTA